CAGAGCTTATCAACTGTAGTATTTACTTGAACAATACAGAATCTGAGTGTTAGGAGCTGCATCTCCTCCAACCAGTGGGAAAGTAGCTCCTCCACAGATTGTCAGGTTTAATACGCTGTTTTAGGCTGAAGAGAATACAGAAGAAACATCCACACCAAAGTGCTCAGATCCTGAAATAGGACTCACCTACAAATGAGGGATTCTTGATTTGGAAATAAAAATAAATACTGCAATGACATTTAAAATCTAAAACACAATTGAAAGCATGGTTCTCTCACAGTAAAAAACATTCCCTTTTGTGCAGCGCTTTTAGTTTTCATTAGCATTTTAATTACACTTTTCAACGTATAAAAGGCTGAAACTTTTTCGTGCACTTCTGTGTAAGCAAATAAGTTAAATTTTAGATTCTCTTTAGGCACTAACAATGATATCTACGGATCTTCAGTCCACACTCCGGTCTCTGGTGACAGAACTACATCTCTCAGAGCTCACTGATGTTATTTTAGCTGTTTACAGGTCTCAACATTAATGCCACTGAGTCAAATTTTTACTTTTAAAATTATGAGAACACCAAGAGCAATAATTGATTGCTGTAAATCCAAAGTACCATCAAGTGGCAGGCAGGACCCTCAGCATGCCCCATCTCATTGTTCAGAATTCACATCTTTAAGATGGTTTTACCATTATAATGCAATTTCCACACTAGCACGAAATTCAAGATGGTTTTGTTTGGATTTTTTCCCCCTCTTGCAAATGGCTTGCAAAATGACAATACATGAACTCTGATCTTGTTTCAGTACAAACCAACAGAAAGACAGTGATGCAGAGGCGCAATATACCCATCACTATGGCATTACTACTTGCAATGGTCACATAAGTGAGTGAAAACAAACCTGAGCAGTAAGGACAGGTAAAAAGCATACAGTAATTAACAATATGCAAAGCAGCCTTTGTTAGACCAAAAGATTATTACAAGATACCAAGACAAGCTAAGGGCAAACAGAAGCTCCCATGTTTTTCAGAGTTCCAAAGCGATTTTCAGGTATTGCCTTAGATGCAACTAGGTCAGAGCTCTAGCAAGCAATGCAAAACCACAGGCTAGAGAATTTTTCTTCCTTGCAGCAGAGTGAACACACTCAAGTGGCCATAGCTCATTTCAGAACCTAAACTGTACATAGGTTGCTGCTGCCAGTCAGGTAATGCAAAACTTGTGCACATATATGTGCTCCAAATTGTCATAAAAAATTAGCAGGTGATTAACGAGTAGGCAGAACCCACATCTTGCCATTTGTCAGGTGTTCTTCAGATATTTCCAGTTTCTAAACCAATGCTTTTATGAAATAAGAGAACTAACATTCTTTACACATCATTGGGGCTGTTCAGCCTGGAGAAGGTTGTGTGGAGACCGCATAGCATTTTCCAGGGTCTGAAAGGGCTCCAGGAAAGCCAGAGTGGGATTCCCAACCCTTTCTGACTGAAGCAGCCAAAGACACTCCTTTAACCATCTGATGGCCTTTATGAGAGGCAGCCAAATGTTTCTATCCCAGTGAGGGTGTTTAGTTTGATTAATATTAATTGATTAATTTCTCAGCATTGTATGAAATGACATGCAGTGTTCACAGCCAGGTTGGATGAGCCTTGAGCAACCTGCTCTGGTGGGAGGTGTCCCTGCCCAGGGCAGGCATTGGGGCTGGATGATATCTAAGGTCCATTCCAACCCCTTAACATTCTATAATTCTATGGCCATACTACTATCAGTGTTTGCAAACAAAATTCCACCCCCCACACCTGTGCAAATCCATTGACTTCGATGTATATATTTAAGCCACAGCCACCTCTGTTTTGAGTTTGAATTTCTGTTTCATTCACCAGCAGTTTTCTTCTGCTACCTTCTTCTTTCAGAATCCAAAGAAAAATTCTGTCTGTTATCCAGAAATGCTGCCAGAAAGTACCTGTGGGCACTAAAGGAAGCTCACAAGTATGTGCCTACGTGGTCTTAGCCAAATGATTTCCCTGAGCAATTACATTTTCAAATAAAGGCTGACTCAGATGAAATTATGTGTAGAACAACACAGCTCTCATGAACTACACTGTCCTCACACCCCCACTCAATTTAATCCCTTTTATAAACTGCAAACCCAAAGGATCTGACACAGAAGCTCAGCAAACTTTTTGTTGATGAATGGAATGGACTCCCCATGGACACATGCAATGGACGATGCACACAATCCTGCAGGAGCAAGCTGGAACCTAATCACTGTGCTACACTACCTGTTTAAAAATGAGTGACCCTCTGCAGTGTGCAGAGTCATAGTTCTCTAGGAGTGGCTTTTGAGTTACAGAGGAACTATTAAACAGCTGATAGGAACACACAGAACTCAAATCCCTCAGAGACCTGACCAGTATTCACAGAGCAAAACCAGAAAATACAGCACCTGCAAGAAAACATGACCAGAGGTGGGGAGGAAATGTGTATGTTTGGAGGTTAGGTAGTCTGGTTAATTTATTTTTTTTAAACAAAACACTTTTGGTAAGGGAACCATAGTTCCAATACAATATAACAATGTGCTGCACACAGCCTTACACGTGCTAAGTCAACTGGTAAGTTCAGTCTGTCGTCCTTAACTATTACCTCCAAAGGCAAGTTCCTCAGCTTCAATCCTTAACATATCCTGTAACAGGTATTACAGAGCTATGCAATTTCAGGATAACAAAATGCAAGAAATCAAACCAATATTGTCTGAAATGTGACACACTGCAAGAATTCTAGCTCTTCCCAAAGGAGAGACTTAGCTTCTCAAAGATACCATAAATATCATGTATTACTTTCACTAGCATCCACATTTCAAAGAAACTGAACAAGACCAGATGGACTAAAAATACTCCTTCAATAAGTATGTGCCAGGAGAAACTTCCCTCTAAAATACTTAATTTTATTAGTGAAATGGTACCAAAGGTAACAAGTATACAAACAATCTCTTTGCTCTATGCTACTTACACATGATAAATAAGACAGCTGTTGTTGCAAGACACAATCCTTCACAGTTCTCCCTGTCAGCATACAGACTTGTTACTCTTCCATCAGAATGAGCTGTTTACCAGCTGGAACATCCCCAAAATGGCTGTCTATACTTTATATGGTAAAGCATTTTCTATAGTCTTTGATGGACACAGTGGCAAGAACATGAAATCTTATAGAAAATCATGAGTGATTAAGCAGCTTCACAATTACCTTAGGAACTGGGCAAAGTTTTCACTCCCTGCAAGATGCTTCCTCCTCCCCACCCCCCACTGAGAGAATTAACTATGCAAAGGAAAAGCAAAGCAAACAGAAAGCAAATAGCCAATATGCTATTCAGGTCTTATTTTAACTGAAAGAAATAACCCTTCCCACGAGGTAAGGCAATTGAGTAATGTGTATTAAGTTGTGGCAAAAATAATCTACTCAATTTTAGCTAAAGTTATGTCTTAAAGGTGTGACTTTTCAGAACTCTTCTGCAACCAGTGAAATCAGTTCAGAGAACACAAGCCACGTTTCACCTTGACAAAAATATCTGCTTGGTGTTTCTCTTCTCACATGCTTTTTCCCCCAAAGAATGAAAAAAGAATCTCTATCATGTAAATTAGAACTTTATTCCTCAAATTATTTATCTCTCCCCCCTTCTTTGCATACAGTTAATTTTATATCCCCCAACAGGTATCAGAGAAGACGACGGAGAGGCAACAATTAAGGCCATCCCAATGAAGATTAAATGTCTTAAGGGCTTTCTTTGATGCAGGTGATCAGAACACGCTCTATATTCAGCCTCTGTACAGTGGTGGTCCCCAAACTGCATCTTTGCTTTCACCTATGAATCTCTTCTAGGAATACAAAATAAAAAGTAAGATGGAGCTTCAGGATTTTAACAAATGAATCAAACAACCATTCTGACAAATCACTTGCATTCTTGTCTACAGTACAGTGGTGGCAAAATAGCAATAGAGATCATATAAGATTTAGCAAAAAAGTGTAACAGCACATATACCTTTCTAGAAAATACCACATTTTAAGAAGGCACTAAAGCTTCTGCTTGTGCTCCCATGTTGTTTTGTTTTTTTTTTTAACGAAGAAAAAATTTATTTTCTTAATGGCACCTGTACTATTTGCAGCTGAACAGACACACTGCAGTATATCTCAAAACAAAGCTGTAAGTTCTGATAACACCAGACAGTTGTGCTCACCTGTGGAAAGACAAAAGATAACAACAGAACAAAACAACCCCGAAAACAACCCAGTAAGCTAACCTAGTATCTAAAACATGGCAATGTTCCTTTTAGGAACCGTAAACCAACATGCATTGTTCAAATACTTTTAGAGCAGTATTAATTTTAGGGGTATTAGTAAGAAATTATTTTAAATAACAAAATCTAAAAGCAAACTAAAAACATATTGGTCTGTGGGTACTTAACATAAGGACCATAA